AAAAAAAAAAAAAAAAAAAAAAATTATATTCATAAAGCGAATAATTTTCGATTTAAATAATATCTGAAAACGATCCGCGATACATCACAATCGTAACATCTTAAAATGATCCATCGATGACCATCAAAGGGGGGAAGGGGGGGCATATCGAGAAGGGAAAGTACACTGGTTTGCGAAACCGGAATTTTTTCTATCGATTATTTAATCGTTATATCGTCGATCTTATGGACTTTCTATGAACGAGGCCGAGTCCAAACTGGCACGATTATATTCAGATTCGCTAACAGGGATCCTCGAGAAATCGTTCACAGACGGTTTTCGTGCCGTTTCCTCGTCAATCTCGTTAATTACACGTTCGCATTCGCGCTCCACGACGCATTTTAACACTGTTTTTGCCACCTTTCGATCCTCCTTCCCCCCCCCTCTTTTCACCACTCTGTATTTTCTGCATTTTTCGCGAGACCGGACGTTAAAGCCAACGTTTTTCGTTGATGTTATTCACGATGGAGGAGAAACAGGGAAACAATTACATGCTCGGTGGGTATTTATCATGTCGTTGAGAAAGTGGTTCGCTTTTCGTTAAAGTTATAACGACGAGTTAATAACGAAGTCGGCTCGAAATATATTTCTGGCAAACGGAGCTCGCCGTTTTACCAAGAAATTATACGAGGTTTCGGTAGTTACCTAACAATCTTGCGATCGAACATTTTCTCGTATACGATTCAAGGATTTCTCGCTTTCGTGAATCTCTGATGGAATTGTGATAAAATTTTATCCATATCTCGAATCGTAAATCATTTTTATCGTTATCTCACACCTCACCACTGTTACAAAAATATATTTAAAACTGTTTAATATATCGTATTTAATAATACTAATCAAATATTAACGTGTATTTAATTTATTAAGAAGGAAAAGAAAACTCACCCTAAAATTCTTCCAGCTTCCGGGCTCCTGTAGAAATCGCACCTGTGAAGAGGCCTCCTAAAATCGTCCACGCTCCTTTGTCCAGCGGCCTGACACAACGCGCGATACAGTTGGAACTGAAGAACCCCTGCCACGAAATTCCTGTAAAATATAAACGAAT